CTACCTCATGATTTTCTAGTTGTTCAGAAGGAGGATTACTCATATCTTAGAAAAATATTATATTAACGAAAAACTGCCAAAAGAAATTAAATATTCTGCAAAAACAAGCAACTGCATGTCATATAAATGACTTAAAAAGAGTTTAGAAAAAATTGTTATTACGTTCATGATGAAAATTAGATAATAATTCATTTCCTTGATGCAAACCACTCCAATACTTTTGCATAATTTCATTGGTGTCAACTTAAAATTAATAATGATATTATTGTTGAAATGATATTTTAAAATCAAGTCTATGATTTTAAAATATACCCGGGCCCGGCCTAGGGTTCGAGCTCTTAATATTAAGAAATTTAAAAACAATCAATGCCTTCGTGTGGTGCAGAACTGGCAGATTCGTGCGTAGTTGGGATGCCCAATTCCGACATATCAAAAATTTCATGATTTGTTGGCAGGTAAGATGATCCTTGCGGTTCATAAGTAATTCCTTGCTGAACGTTTTATTATTAGTACTTGGGTTTATTTTTTATTATTAGTACTTGGTATATTTACTATAATGTAGTTGATATTTATTTATTTTTTTAAGTTTGATATTTATTTAAAAAAATAAGTGATATTTATTTTAAAAAACCTGAGACGATGTTAAAGCCTCATCGTTTTCTGGAAATTATAAATTCATTAATACATGTGTTTAAAATTATAAAAGCCCCAATTTTATTCAGATCATTTTGTCAATAAATGAAATGTTCATACAAAGAAATAGAAAACGATTATTTTATTTTTGTGTCAATTTACTTCAAATAACTTTACATAAGTTATATTTACATTGAAAATTTTTTGTTAATAATTTTACTCACCAATTTCTGGTGGATTATGTAAAAGGTATTGAAACATTTTATAATCATGTGTTTGTCCAAAATGTGGATTATGTTCATTATTGCTTATATCTAGGATGATGAAAAAAGTTTTTAGTTATACATTAGAAATCTTTTAAAAATTATTTAGAGCTGAATTTGTTTGGAGCTGAATTATCTGAAATAAATTTATAAGGCTTATAATTATCCTCAGTTAAATCTGAGAGAAGAATCTAATACGTTTAAGTATTTAGTTTTCTAATGAAAGCTCGGACATAACAAATGGCGCTTTCATTTATATTTTTTCTTCAAGTGTTCACAAAACATTTACAACATTTGAAAATTTCTCGTTAATAATTTTACTCACCAATTTCTGGTGGATTATGTAGAAGGTATTGAAACATTTCATAATTATCTGTTTGTCCGGAATGTGGATTATGTTCATCGTCAATATTGCTTATATCTATGATGACGGAAAAAGTTTTTAGTTATACATTAGAAATCTCTTAAAAATTATTTGGAAAACATTAATAAACACTAATGAATCTATTCAGCCGTTTTTTTCCAATCCTAGGGTTTCTATTTGAAAGTATATGACCCAAACTAATAATTCAATAAATTAAGGTATTAATATTAGAAATACAATTTCATATGCCAAAATTTTACCGTGTTGCTTTTGTTTATCCTTTTTATTTCTTCTTGGTGCACCGTAGATTATATCAATTTCAAAACTCAAAAAATATGTCACAATGAGAACTTTCAGATGAATTTGGAAAATAAAAAGCATTTGCTAAAATTTGATAAAATACACTGCAGTGAAAAGTTTACTGCTAAAATTATTTCAATAATGTATTTCTTACAGTATATGTTTTAAGTTATGTATCGCGAGACTAACGTACCGCCGAGCTATAACTTTGTTCAAAATTGTCGAACCCGTGGCGCCTAAATTGTCGAACCCGTGGCGCCCAGCTGAAGACCAACCAGTCGCCACGGATTCGAAAATTTTGAACAAAGTTATAGCTCGGCGGTACATTGGGCTCGCGGCACACTGGCCTGCTCCCCGTCCAATGACGTTTAAGTGTTTAGGTTTATACGATCACATTTTTATGCGTCCAATTTATATTGATAAGTACCCGGTTTTGTATGATAGAAATTGTGTTCCAGTAATAACTAGAGTTGGACAAAACGATACTGGTATCGGCCAACCCGAGACCGAGACTGACCGATACTAAAGAACCCGATACCGAGACCGATACCATCATTTTTAGCCGAGACCGATACCGAGAAACGATACTGACCGAGACTAACAGAAAATTTGAGTAAGTTTTGTTTCTCGCCGAGAAATGGACCGAGAATATCGGTATCGGTTTCGAGACCGAGAATGAAAAAACCGAGACCGGTATTGGAAAAAAGCCGAGAATCTCGGTATCGGTCTCGGTATCGGTCTCGGCTTGTCCAACTCTAGAATAACTAATAAAACAAACTTAACAAACTTCTACCTTAGAACGATTGCTAAAATATTTATTGCTTAAAAAATTAATTTATAAATTAATAAAAATTAATTAACAAAAATGCCTTACTCCTAAAATGTAAATGAAGGTAGGCATTAGGCATATATGTATGCTTCTCTATTTTAGCCTTAAAATCCCAAATCAATAAAATGTCTACTAAAATTTCAAAATTTATTTTTTCTCTAAACATGCCAATTTGTTACACATCATATGATTATTAAAGCATTCATTTAAGGTTTTTTGAGGTTAGAGAAATAGAAAAATCGGTTAGACAAATAAAAATTCATTGTGTAAAGTATTGCGTAATTTTTTAAATTATTTTTTAAATGTAGTATGTCCATTCATTGACACTCTCGTCGATAAATTGCACTCTCTCTCTTGCCTATAATTGCACTCTTGACGCTCAAGTCAATAAATTGTCTAAAAAATTTTAAAAATGTTTTATGAATTATAGATTTTGTTTAAAGGGAAGTTAGTGTTTCACGAGCAATAATAAAAAAATAATTAAAATTTTCAAGAAAACCGAGCCCTATTCCTTTTATGTCCGACTTCTGTGTTATGTAAGAACAAAAACAAGAGATTTAAAATCATAAGCTCATCGAAAAAGCTATCTGAAACATTATTATCTAACTACTTATTGATGAAAACACGGTAATTAATAGAGACGTGCGAGAACGAAAATTTTCCAAGACTTAAGACCAAGACTTGACCCCAAGACTCAAGACCGAAAATTAACAGGAATCAAGACAATTATTAGGTCCCATAGGTCAAATTTTTGGTATATTTTTGTTATTTTGACACGATATATAACAAAGTATAAGGAACGATTACTTTATCTTAATTTAAAAGAATTGCAACAAAGAAGAAATGTTTCTGATTTAGTAATGGCTAGAGCCCGGATTTTTATGCATTAAAAAATGCAAAATATGCACTATAATATGCATAAAAAATTGCTAAAATATGCACAAAAATATGCAAGTAAACCAAAATATACACGCATATATGCATGAAAAATACCATTTATACCTAAAATTTTACATATTTTTAGTCAATATGATTTAAAATACATTTTTTTATTAAGATTTCTCCTATTTTAAATGTATAGTTCGACAAATTGAGCATTTTTACGGTGTTGGGCATTTTGAGATGAGGCATTTTGGTGGTGGGACATCTTGGGGTGCGACGTTTTGGGGCTGAGACATTATGGGGGTGGGCCATTTTCTGGCGAAACCAATAAACACAAAAATTTTTTACAAAATTTGTAATTTTTACAAATTTTTTCCTAAATTTTTATTAAATTTTCACTTTTTGGCAGGATTTTAGGCAATTTTCGCAATATTTTCCCCAAAAACCTCAAAATATGCAGTAAAATATGCATTATGCAACAAAGTCCGGAATATGCAAAAATATGCATTATATGCAAATAGAAACCCCCTCTAAAGTTTTCAAAACTTGCGGAAACAGTGTTTTTTGTGCATAACACATCATGAAAAGTTTGCAAAAAAAATATGCATTTGCATAAAAATCCGGGCTCTAGTAATGGCACATAAAATAATAACGAATCAAACACATCTAAAACCGGAAAAATATTTCAGCTTTGCGAAAATGGCTAAGAAAAAAATTTACTGTTTGCAACACAGAAAACTAAGTAGAAAAACCTATAACAACTTTTTTACAAGAATTATACCTACTTGGAACAAGTTACCAAATGATATTTTAAAGATATACAAGTCCAAAAAATTCAGGGAAAATGTCAGCCTAAAATGTAAAAGGGTTTATGATAAAATTCCTATTCCCTAATAGGAAATTATTATTTTGCTCTTATAAATTTTCATATCCATTTCTATTTTTTATCTATATATTATACGTTTTGTATATATCCGAGGCAATTTTTAACTTATCCATCTCCGTATCACGTCTGATTTCTCGTTTATTTTCCCCTTAAATATTTAAAATAGTTATTGACACAAATACAAAATTTTATTAAAATTTATCTGGCAAAATCGAATCATAAAAAACACAATATATCAACAAACAAATGATTGATTTTGTGTTATGTGGTGTGGTTAAGAGAAATATAGAAACAATTTAAAAAACGATTTAAAAATTAAAAAAATAAATTTATTGTGCAAATATTAGCGCAAACGTGAAAATAAAATGAGACTAATACAATATTGCGGTCAAGAGACCTCGTCAAATTTCAACGGAATACAGTCGGATCTTAATTATATCTTAATATTATCAATTATGGGGGAAATTATGAAGGGAAAGTGTGGCTGAGGTGACCTATAATTGGATGTTGCTTAATAGAGTTGGCAGGTCCTGGGGTATAGTGTTGGGGTTTTCGAGTCGGGCCGACGATTTTTTCTGACCTCATTTTTATCAGGCCGGCCCGATCGAGTCTTTTTCGGGCCAAAATTTGACTTTTTTCGGGCCAAATTTGATCAGTTCGATTGCATTTAATTTTGGTGTAGAAAGTCTTTCGGACCGGCCGGATCGGGCCCCCAACCCTACTAGGAAACCCCAGCGGTTCCGAAATCCAAATTCGAAATTCTATCCTAACATTTTCGGAATGGACATACACCAACCTATCCACCAACCTTAGTTACCAACAATTATTGTACGATATCATAGAAAGTGTCCATATAATAGAGAGGTGAATGAATATGGGCGAAAGTAAACCAAGATCCGACTGTAATTAAAAAAAATTTTCATAATGATCAGTTCGATTGCATTTAATTTTTGGTATGGAAAGCATTTGGTACTATGAAATGCATAAAATGAAAATGTAGAAGGATTTCAATAATTTCGGCAAAAAAATTTTTACAGTCGTCGTAATTAGATTAAAATTATGAATGGAACAAATAATGACAAATGAAGGGAGGGTCAGGTGAGATGTAGATTTTTCTGAAAATATTTTGAAACAAATAAGTGTCGAACCAGGCTATAGGCCCTTGGTTAAGGCTTAATGACAGCCTTTGGTGATTCGGAGCGATATGACCAAAGATAGGATCGAGACAAGATCTTCTTAAGAAATTTTGGTCATTGAGAGTCTTGGTCATAGCTAAGAGTATAAAGATAATAAATATATAATCATATCTAAGTCATATCATATCTCTCATATCTAAGAGCGATAGTGTTAATCATATCTATCGTCATTCCCATACGACACTCCCAGTCTTATCTCAATTTATACCCTTATCAGGAAAAAAATTTTCAGAAAAATTTAAATTAGTTTATAGGACCGAGTTGTTTGCTTAATAAAAAATGGTACTCTGCGTTTATATACCCCCACGTCCGCAAATGTTTGTCCGCACTTTTTTCCTTTTCCTTCTCCTTCTTACTCCTCTCACAAGGACGATAAATGGTCAAGCATCAATAAACCCCCATTTTCTTTGTCTTCTCCTTCTTTACTCCTTGCATTTTGATTAAAATGGTCATTAAAAATAAAACAATGTTTAGAAATTATTTTGGAGGCTATTGCAGCGAAAATTCAGTTGGTCACAATTTTGCTTAGAATCGAAAAAAAAAAACATTGTTTTATTTTTAATGACCATTTTAATCAAAATGCAAGGAGTAAAGAAGGAGAAGACAAAGAAAATGGGGGTTTATTGATGCTTGACCATTTATCATCTTTGTGAGAGGAGAAAGAAGGAGAAGGAAAAGGAAAACATTTGCGGACGTGGGGGTATATAAACGCAGAGTACCTAAAAAATAGATGAACGAAAAGTAAAAGATAAAAAGAAAATTATGGCAATCCCAAATAGGAATATTGTTTAAAAATAAAACAAAAAAAATTAAAATTTTGACTTCAAAGTCAAAAATAATCGGAAAAAGCTTTTAAAAATTAAAAAAACTTTCAGCCCAACAAACACTTATCGTCCTTAACCGAATTTGTTTCTTGTTTCTCACCTTCTTTCAAAACTTCTTGTTCAATCTGCTGATTTTCTTCGGCTTTATTTTCTTCTTTAATTTTTTTAAAATGTTTATTGTGATGCTGTTTAGCTGCTAGGGAAGGCTCGCTTTTAGCTCGTTTTAAATATCGTTGGTGCTTGTTTGATGCAACATCCTCATCTGTCTCAACTATTATTGGCACATCATCTTGTTTTAAATAAAAGAATTTAATAAGGTTAAAAAGACAGATCTGAATAGGTTATTTTGGAAGAGGTGGATGTCTATCGTAGTATATGGTAACTAAAATGGCTTTGAAGGGACGCTCTGACGTCCGAGGATTTCCCCTTTCAAGACGTGAATGCATGTGTCTATCGTAGTATAGTGGAACTCATGGGAGTTCGAAGGGTATGCCTCTGACGTAAGAGACATAATAGATTTTCCCGTTTAAGACAACAACTCCCTCCCACACTCTTTCCGTTATTGTGATATGCGTGGCGAGTCCGAACTTCGGATGGAGACCTTGAGGCCATTTTGAAGGCCTTAAATCTCGGGAAATAGCAACCGGAGTGAGAGGGAATTTTTATAAGAGAAGATATTCTACTCTAAGATATCGGATGTAGTCATCTCGATTCCATAGTGAAATTTCAAAAAAATTTGAAGCTAAAAAATTTTACCATGTTCTCCATCAGTTTGTTCCTGATCTGTTTTCGGATGCAATGCACGATAATGATGTTGTTGGAGCGAATAGCCAAATCCACCAATATATCCTGCACGTTTCTTAGGCTGTTCCTGTTGATGAATAGTCCTTTGAATTTTTGCTGAGAGGCGTCGACTGAGGCGGAAAAGGCCAGAATTTGATAGCTAAAAATTATACTAGCTATTTTATTTTTTATCAAATTTAGATAAAATTTCCCTAGTAAAGGGGGTATAGTTGGTTTGGGATTAATAGAAATAAGTTTCTCCCATTTAAGAATTTTAGAAAATCCATTATCCAAGGATATACGTAAATTTAAATCAAGTGTGATAGTATTATATACCGTATTTCCTCTAAAATAGTCCCAGCCTCTAAAATAACCCCCCCCCTCTAGAGGACGATCAAAAAATAGCCCCGGCCTCTAAAATAACCCAGCCTCTAAAACAGCCCCTCTCCCCTAAAATAACCCAGCCCCCCCTAAAATAGTCCCCCTCCTATAGCCCCCATCCTATACGGTATCTGGAGATATATTAAACACATTCTCACACTAGAACCGACTAGAATGTGATACAAAAAAATTACAAAAATTCACCCTATCTGTATTTGCAGATTCACTCATAGCACTAGCACATTGCCTTCTAACAAAATGTCCATAGACAGAATCTAATTCACCACTCTCTCCCAAGTCCAAATTTTCAGCTCCAGACCCCCCAAATGTTGCTGCCAGCTTTTGTAAGTGTTTAGCACTCAATCTCATCGATTTTGCACTTTCAGCAAAGGCATTCTCGTTTTCATTGAACGTGTCAATCTCTTCCTCCTCGGTGTTGGTTGAAGGTATGTGTTCTTCAATTTTACGGTGTTCTTCAGGTGAAAGTGTCTTAGCGCTTTCCGCACAGCCAGAATCCGAGGAATCTGCTGATTTGTCCAGTTTGTGTGAATAGGCAAATCTTAAGTATAAGGGATATGAATACAAAAAGATTTTTGAAGGGAAGTTAGAGTATAAAGAAAGAAGTCAAGTTCCTCCTAACTAGAACGGCTAAAAAATTTTTTATGGCAACATTTCTCAGTCAATTTCTACGCAATCGACAGATGGATTCAAATGAATGGTTACTGTAACTCATTTATGATTTTCAATCTCCTATCGCCTATTATATCTCCTATCTATTCAAATAAATTACAATTAGGGGATCCAAATAAATTTCTTGTATTTAAAATTTAAAAATTTTTTAAAACTTACTGCTCTCCAATCTGCACTTTCTGAATAGCATTTTCAACTTCCCCTACCACATTTGTAAGAATACGGCTAGACCAACGATGGTGGCTTATTCTATCTATGCCCAAAGACATTTTGTCTTCTGGGTCTTTTTCTGTTGAGACAACTAAAAATTTTTTTATTTTGATAAATTCTTAAATCTGTGCCTCAAAAATACTAGACACACTTTGGGACACAAAAATCGGAATTTATAATGCGAGGTATGCTCCCTGATTTTGTGGCTAACATGAACCTCATATAAGTAACGTGACAAAAATTTTGCTCTATTAAAAGGGGTATATTGAATAAGCAGCTCCTCCCACTACCTAGAGGCTAACCAAATTTAAAGATAGATCTACCTGCAATAGCCTCAACATCTGTAGAAATAATATCCTTTTCTGTTGAACAACAACGTCGAATTTTATAAAATAGTCGAATAAATGGAGGCCTCTGTTTGGGTTTTCTTGGCAAGACAACAAATAAAATAAGTTGTGCAAATGCCAAAAGACTGCCAATGCCGTTTGGGGTCTTTAAAAATTTTTAATCAATTAAAAAAAAATTTTCTGATACACACAATCAAGTAAAAGTCCCATACTAATAGTCCATAAATAAACCATTCTGTAGAGACCATAAAGTTGGCAATACAGAGAGGGAGGGGTAAGGTGGATGTTGCACGGCGACGTATTACTACTCGCTTAAAGATATTTATTTTAAATTAATTTTGAGGTATTTTACCAATCCACTCAAGGGTGCAGCAAAGTCCATAGTGTTCAAGGTTGTACAAATAATGCCCAAAGGGTGAAAAACCTTTTGTCCAAAGATATGAGCCAAAGCTACAAGCGCTGAACAAATACCCACAAGAAGAAGAATTTTGATTGAGATCCCAAGCTGAAATAATAGAAAAATTTATTTATTATCTTTTAATATAGCTTCATGATAGTTAATTATACTATAACTCAGAACTGAAATAATAATTCTGATGTAGTTAATTTTGTTTATTATAACTAGTATGGTTTATAATAATTTTGTTTTATATAATTATGTTTTATTATATCAAATTATATAAAATTTTGTTTAATAATTCTGATTTCTTAAATTCTGGTTATATAAGTCTGATTTAAAAATAATTCTGATTTACTAATTCTGATTTTTTATTCTGGTTAGTATAACTCTAATTAAAAAATCTGATTTACTAATTCTGATTTTTTAGTCTGGTTAGTATAACTCTAATTTAAAAAAAAATTCTGATTTAATAATTCTGATTTTATTAGTCTGGCTAGTATAACTCTAATTTAAAAATAATTCTGATTTACTTATTCTGATTTTATTAGTCTGGCTAGTATAACTCTGTTTTAAAAATAATTCTGATTTACTAATTCTGATTTTTTATTCTAGTTAGTATAACTCTAATTTAAAAATAATTCTGATTTACTAATTCTGCTTTTAGTCTGGTTAGTACATATAACTCTAATTTAAAAATCGTTATGATTTTTTATATTCTGTTTATTATAACATATATTTAATAATAATTCTGATTTATTAATTCTGATTAATTTAATTCTGTTTATTATAACTCATATTTAATAATAATTCTGATTAACTATTTATGTTTATTATAACACTTATATTTTAATAAATCTGATTTAAAAATAATTTCATAATTTACCTTCTTTTTAGACATAAACCAATAGAATATAGTATAAGTAGAATAGAGCAAAATTTGTGTACCGGTTACATACATCACAGTATTGTCACCTTTTAAGTAAGCGTAGACAATCCAGCAAGTGCCTCCAAGTACTCCCATAAGGAATGGGGCACCGCTGATTTCGTCCGTGTCTTTTCTTTTCCATATTTGACGGCAGATTGGGCTAAAATTAAATTTTACTAATTTTTTAAAAAATTTCCACAATATTTTTAAAATTTAAAAATTCTGACATTCCACAGAAGAACAGCCCTACTGTCGTGAAAAAGGCGAGAGTCGAAATAAATTTAATAAAAGTAAATTCTCCGTGGAATACGTCAAGCATTATGGAAGATTATTTGAAGGATCTGAAGCTATTTTAAAAGAATCCTGTCGTCAAAATGGGATTAATTAAAATTAAGCAAGGCTTAATTATATAGAATTTAAAGAAAAATATAAAAATTTTATTTAAAAAAATTTTTTTCTATAGAAAGAGAAAGAAAATTTTGGCAAAAAAATTTGCAGCCACCCATCTCTGGTTGAGAAAAAAATTTTTAAGTGAGAGTAGGACACACTATGAGAAATGCACTACTAATATTTTTAATTTTATTTTGACGTGAAAATAACAAAAAAATTATTTTTAACACTTTACTTTTTGTTTGTTTATCAACTTTGTTTTTTATTTTTTTTGCATAATTTTGGTCTGACCTAGTTTTTTCTTCCAAAAAATCACGTGAATTTTATATGCGAGATTTCCATATAATATTATTTATTGTCGCAATAATATTACTTTATGAATAAAAATAAATAAAAAAAACTTGAAATAAAAAATAAATGGATAGTTTATGACAATGAACAGAATTAGTTTAAAAAAGTATGGATTAAGCAAGCTTAGACACAAAGCAGGAAGCGAGTTTCTGGCAGCTTCAATTTTAAAGAAATGATGTGCTCCTCAATCAACAGCCTAAGCCCTCCCATAATACTAACTTTAATAATATCAGTGTCAAGTATCAGTTAATCCAGGCACAAGTAAAGTTCCTTCTGATTAAACTGATCAGCACTAAAATAGCATTAGTGCTTGAATTTTAGCAAAAATAGAGCCCGGACGGTACCGTACTACGACGGTAATAACATTCAGCACAAACTATGGGTTAAGCAAGCTTAGACACGTGACAGGAATCGAGCATAATGCTCACTTCAATATTTAACAAAGTGACAAATACAAATTACTCCAAGCCCCCGTAAGGTTCCCGCTGATTAAAATGATCAGTTTAGCTTAAATAAAAGCAACAGGAATCGAGACTGATCAAAACTAAAATAACGAAACAAATTTTGTGCTTATATTTGTGTTTGATTTTTAGTAAAAGCATTAGATCTTAACTTTACTCTTTGAACCTTCGAAGATTCTCCCTTTTATATAATCAAATCTTAAACCACCCAAATTTTGTATTAGTCAACATTAAATTTAATATTTAAAAACACTTTTGCTGTAATAATATTAAAATGACCTCCTCTCGATAAATAGATTAATCATAGTTTAAAAATATAGTGAATAAGCAGTGAGACAAAAATGACTGTAAATAAAGTCTTTGAGAAAATGAGTAAATAAAATAAAAAAAAATATTTGAAATAAGTAAAACGTGAAGAGAAAACTGAAAATAATTTTAATTAATGATATGATTGAATAGGATAAGGAAAAAACATATGATCGGGATATGAAGAATGTGTATCAGGGATTTTAATTTTAATTTATTGAGGAAGATGACTTGAAGGGAGTCAGTTTTCTAAACTCTTAGCATTTAAATTGAATTATGATTGAGTCGATCAGGAATGTCGCTGATCTCCTTGGGCTGCCACAAGGATTTAGGGCTATCAGAAATACTTGGGGCTACTGAAGGACTTTGCTCTACCACAAGGTCTTAGGGCTACCGAAGGACTTTGGGTTACAGAAAGACTTTGGGTTACAGAAGGACTTTGGGCTAACACAAGCCATCCTAACTTAAAAACTAAACTGGCTCAACAGTCCTAAAATAAATATTAAAATTTAATTTTGTAAATTATTTTATTTTACACAACGTAAAATAAATTTTACAATCGCTCGGACGATAACAAAATAAATTTTTATTTATTTTAAATTATTTAAATAGGTATTAGAATATTTATTCTAGATTTTTCTCAATTTCCCATGGCTAGTAAATAAGAAAAAATGGGCAATAAATACATGGTGTACTCATAAATGATAAAAATGCACTCAAACCGTTTCGGACTGCACTGAAAATTAAAAAGAAAAAAATTGGAGAGAAAAATATTATCTCGATAAATATTTTTATGATGATCCTCTCCGTAATGCGAGAGAAGGGGAAAGTGTTTTGTTTATGTATTATATGAAAGAGACCGCCCCGCCTTTATTTTGCCCTAAAATTTCTTTAGAAACGCCCATGGTGAATTCCAGTGAAATATAATATAATTTTACAATTGAATATAATATTAGAATATCAGAATTTATATATAAAAAGAATAGAATAATATAATTATCAGAATAATAAAATTATCAGAATTTTGTATAACTAAGAAAAATTAAAAATAAACTTAAAATCAGAAAAAGTTTATTTTCTGATTCAATCCACTTTATGTATGTCAGAAAATAATAACTCTAATAAAATCAGAATAATAAACCTGATTAAACCAGAACTGTAAATAAACTTTAAATACAACTGAATATGATTTCTGAAAATATTTTTAAATTTATTTATGTGTTATTCTCGAATAACAAGTTTATTTATAAAAGAATTTTTTATGTGTTTAAATTAGTGTTACAAAGGGAATTTATTTTGAAAAATTAAAATAAGTAATTAATTAATATTGAAATTAAAAGAAAAAAGTACTTTTTGGCCTTCTCTTGACTTTTAAAAGTTTTCTCAAATAAATCTTCGAACAAAAATGAGTAATATAACAAAAATTAAGATTGCTAATAATAGAAATTATAAATTATATTTAAATATAATTTTTTAAAATATATTACAAAATTTATAAATTAACTTTAATGGTAATTAAAATATTAAAATATCATGAAACCAGAATTTAATAAATTAAAATAAAACAGAACGATATAACTCAAATTTACAATGGAAATAAATAATTATAAAATTAGACTTTTTCAGAATTTATATAATTTAATTATTAAATTAAATCAGAAAATATAGAATAACTTAAAACCAGAATTTTAGATAAAACCAGAATAGTATAACTCTAATATAAAATATAAATAGTTTACTCGAAATCAGAATTATTATAATTTTAATTCAGAATTTCTATAATAGAATATGTGATTAAATCAGAATGACTAATGGAATAAACTTAAACCAGAGTTCTGAAAAGTTAAATAAACAGAATTTATAACTAATATACAATTAGGGAGTGAATAATTATAAATCAGAATTATAATCAAACCAGAATATAATTAACACTATTATAAGTAAACTTTGATTAAATTTTCTTCAATTATTTTTTAAATAATATTAGAAATTATTAGACATAAAATTAAATAAAAGAATATTTGAGAAAAAATTATAAATGAAATATTTATGAATAATCTTCAGAATTTATTCATATATTTATAGCACCGATATTAAAATAAATTAAGGGTATATCCGGATGAAATTTGGTCTTTTAAAAATAACTGAAAAATGCGAACGTTTTAAATTTATTTTCTTTTCAATAATTTTTTATTTAAACCGTCTTTTAAGTAAAAATGCCCCAAAATTTGGCCAATTTTATTTACGAATTTATATGAAAATTACAGTTAATTATTTTAATACTTACATTTTACTTTAAAAAATGACAAAAAAATATTTTTGGTCCGGAAATATACAATAAAGGTTTTCTTTCCCCAAATTAGGTTGACAAAAAATGATGAAATTTGAGAAATAAAAAATTTGAACGAGAAAATGGCAATCGCATTTTAGAAAATATTTGTCATTGAGAAAGTAAATTAGCCATAATTTTAGGATATGAACATAATGGATATGAAAGGGTTAATTTTTAATATTTTTTTATTTTAGTTTTTTATAAATGAATAGAATTATAGTTGAATATTTTTAATATAATACTTATCAGAATAACTTAAAATCAGAATTAAAATATGAATATGAATTATAATTTGAAATCAGAATTAAAATAAGTATTAAAATAAACTTTAAATCATATTAAAATTCTTAAATTTAAAATCAGAATTCTAAAAATAAATTAAAATCAGAATTAAAAATATAAAGTTAAAATCAGAATTATAAATATAAAGTTAAAATCAGAATTAAAATAACTATGAAATATAGCATGAAATCAGAATCAAAATAATATTGTAATCAGAATTAAAATAAGAATAACACCGAGAATAAAAATCAGAATTAAAAATTCTGATAATAATAAAATTTAAAGATAACTTTTTGAGTTCTGTTTTATAACAATACGTTAAATAAATTAAATCAGAATATACTTTTTTAACCATGTTCTGTTTTATGACGCTATAAAAAAAGGAAATACATATGTATTTAATTATATTACTCATTTACCGTATTTTTTGTATTAGAGCCCTCTGTTGTATTAGAGCCCCACGCTGTAATAAAGCCCCACTTTCAAGGATAGTTGAAAAATAGAGCCCCACGCTGTATTAGAGCCCCACGCTGAAATAGAGCCCCACCTTTTAAAATTTACCTATTGTATAATAAATTGTTAATTTTTGATACTATACTGTTTTTTTCTTTTATTTAATGTTCTGTGCCAATGTTAGAGATTATATGTGATTAAGAGGATATTTGGGGATTAATAACACCTTAAGCTGCTCCAAATCCTCTTCAATAAAGGGATTTGGACTTTATAGGAGATATCAGGAGATTCCTCTATATGCATACTGATAAGCATAGATTTGGCGAGATCAGCTTAGTTATCAGCTGATCCACCTCAGAAATCCTCCTTGATTAATCCCCAAATCATTAATACTCTTCAAATCACTTGATATCCATATTAATCCCCAAATACCTTCTTAATCACATCTATATTCTTCAATTGGGACTGAACCGAATATACACACAAAGGAGTGACCGTGCGAGTGCCGGAAAATTGGGCTCTGGAAAATTGGGCTCCTAGATTTATCGGAAAATTGGGCTCCAACTTTTCGGAAAATTGGGCTCCAGCGGAAATTTGGGCTCTTCGTGAAAAAAGCGGAATATTGGGCTCTAAAATTTTGGGCTCCAGAGGAATTTTGGGCTCTATGGAAAAAAGTCAAATTATGCAATATCAATGGGGGACGTTGTTAGTATGACGGGGGTCAACGGGGGATGTTGTTCCGTCAACGGGGGATGTTGTTAGAATGACGGG